TACAATTATTTTTGCAATTTATAATACTTATTTACCAATCTAACAAAATTTGTTGTACAGTTCTATAATAATTAGTTTAGAAGATATGGCCGTTCAAAATTACATGTTTATTTTTAATGCTTTTAGATCACTTTACTGATTTCCATATAAATATAAATATAAATCATTCTCTTTTTCTCTATATATGTCTATGTTTGTGTTAATTTTATTTGTGTACAAACCTTTCCGAACCTTGACCCAGATATGGGTTTACAAGGTCCCTAATGGGGCAGCATTAGGTGTTACACAATTAATATGTAACATCCACATATGTACCACGCAATCTGGTCAAAATAGATTGCAATTATAACACAAATACGTAACAAAAACGTAACGAGCACGTCGATTTGATAAAATAGGAGATAAATGATATTTATAAACCATTATGTGTATATTTATATTTAATGGAACTCGGAATTGCCTAGGTTCTTGAACAATTTTATACCAAAGTCAATTTAGTAAAAGCCATAGCAAAGCATGGCCGGGTATGCTAGTATATATATATATATATATTATATAAATAAATATATATATATATATATATATATATATGATATATATGCAGCTAATTTAAAAATGGATAATGGTAAAAGTTTGATATTCATCATAAGAGTTTCAAAAGAGACATTCTTCCAGTATTTAATTTTTAAAAATTTACAAAAAGTACTAAAAAGTTGCAATTATTTTTGCAATACATAACAAGAATTTTGCTTTCTAACAAAATTGGTTTTAATCATTGACACCAAAACGCTAATGGGACATTTTTGCATTTTTTTATTTGATTTTTACCAATTTAACGATAAATGCTAAGTAGTTGCAATTATTTTAACAATTTGTACTAATACTTTGACTATCCAACAAAATATGTTTCAAAGTTTTGCTGAAATTAGTTTAGAAGATATACACATATATAAACCTTTGTGATTCATCTAAATGTATTAATGGCACAGTATGAGAATTGCTAAAGGAAATTTTTTTGTATTTAATTTTTAACAATTTTACAGTAATTGCTGTGTAGTTGCAATTATTTTTGCAATTTAGAATAATAATTTAGCTATGCAACATAACAGATTTCAAAGTTCTGTTAAAGTTAGTTTTGTAGATATGCACAATCAAAATTTCATACTTCTCAATGTATTAATGAGTTTGTATGAAAATCGCTAAAGAGACATTTTTCAATTTTTAATTTTTAACAATTTTACAGTAATTGCTACGTAGTTGCAATTATTTTTTCAATTTATAATAATAATTTAGCAATGTAACACAAGATGATTCAAAGTTTTGCTTTTAGTTTAGTAGATAAACACATTTTAACTTTCGTGAATTATCAAATGCATTAATGATAGGAATGCTAAATAGGCATTATTTCAATATTTAATTTTTAACAATTCTATAAAAAACTAGTGGGGTGGGTGGCATCGTGCCTTAAGGCAAATTGCTGAAACTTCCCGTATCGGAACGAAATGTTCGAGGAATACTGAATGTTTTCAAATAGACTATTATAAATATTGAAACATTGTCTAATATTTATAAGAATTCTATAAACTGAATTGCAAATTTAAAATTATTTGTTTAAGTTATATTAGAACTTTAGTCAGAATAAAAATAAAATCTGAATTATCTTCGATATACAAAAAAAAAAATCCAAAATCAATTATTTTGTTAAGACAAGCAGAAAGTTTTTTGAATCATTAAAATCGGACGCTTAGTTCTCTCAAAAACTGCCCTTTTTTACATGTGTAGCTCCGTATCTTCGAAATGGCTGAGCCTGCCTTTGCCAAAAACTAATAGACGCTTCTTCCAATCATTACTAATTGAATGTTTTTTAGATCATTCAAAGCGGATACTCCGTTCTCTCAAAAAGTCGATTTCTATTTTCTGCACTCTTTGCTCCGTATCTCCGAAACGGCTGGACCTGCCTTTGCCAAAAACTAATCAGCTCTTTTCCCTATCAATAGGAATCGGATGTTTTTTGAACCATTGAAATCGGTTGATCCGTGCGCCTAAAACGTGACTGGGAAATTTGTATCCACACATACATACACACACACACACACATCCATTTTTTCTGAGGTATGCCAAAACGTTCAGAAACCTTCAAAACGTCGAGAAATGTAAAAATTTTCAATTCCGATTTTCGGCCCATTACAATAACATACCCTACGGGAAAAAGTTGCAATTATTTTTGCTATTAATAATAATAATTTAGCTTTCTAGCAAAATAGGTTTCAAAGTTCGACTGAGATTAGTTTAGTAGCTAAACACATAAACTTTCGTGATTCATCTAAAAGTTTTAATGACACAGTATAAGAATTACTAAAGGGACAATCCTGATATAAAGATTTGGAATAAAACGACTTTGAATTCGATCTTTCATTATTCTTTGGAAATGAATAGAAATTTTGGGACATTTTTATGGTTTTTGTCAAAAAACTCACAAATATCAGCGTAAAGCACCCCTTTTCAGTTAGATGCCAACAGTTATATACACCCCGATATAAATATGTGGAATAAAATGACTTTGAATTCGATCTTTCATATTCTTCAGGATTCAATACAAGTTTCGGGACTTTTATGGTTTTTGTCAAATAACTCACAAATATCAGGCTAAGGCACCCCTTTTCAATTAGATAGGAAGAAACTAGATAAAATTTACTACGATTCCACGCCAACAGTTATATACACCCCGATATAAACATTTGGAATAAAACGACTTTGAATTCGATCTTTCATATTCTAGATAAACATATATAATTTTATTACAATGTATACGTTAGTTATCCTCCCTATATAGTCCATTATTATATTATGTACCCATACATAGCCATAGTTAGCCAAAGCCAACGTCAGCCTTCGTTCGTTTGCCTGATTTGAATGTGTACATTTTCACTGCAGAGGTTCGTGACGTCATGGTTAGGGCGTAATTATCAGGGTGTGACTGACTAAAAATAAAAATAAAACGCCGACGGTGAGGAGAAAGAAATGCGAAATCGCGAACGATGGACGATGACAATATATAGGTCAGAGGAATATATTGAGATTTTTGTAGTAAAGTAGAATTATCTTGAACTTTCGACATTATGTTGTTTTAAAATTTGAGTACCAAAGGACTTGCTATTACCTGGCAACTTTTTTTAACAGCTTTGGAATCTACTTTCAAATTCCACTCTCCAGGTGGTATAAGACTTGGGACATTTTTGTAGTCTTTAAATTTTTATATAAATACTATTTAAACTAGCTGTAAGTGGAATTCTGTCTTAAGGCAATTAAGGCATTGTGCCTTAAGGCAAATTGCTGGAACTTCCCGTAGCAAAAATTATTATTTTTTTAATAACGATTAACATTTTTGAAAAAAAATTACTTTGAAAAAATAAGATGTTTGAGTTGAAAAATTTTTTTTCTTTATTTGACATATGTGGAAGATATGAATTTTTTTTCAAAGCAATCGTACTGCTTTAACTGCATAGGGACAAAATATAAAAGCGCGTAAGCGCCGCGTCGCTGTCTAACGCCATAAGCATTGGTACGGAACCCATAGGAGTGTTAAAAAAAATGTATACTTATTGTTAAAATCTCTATAAAATATCTGATAATTGATGTGCATATGTCTAATGATCATTTTTGACCGCCAAATGGCTCATTTTTTTTTACTTTTTCTCATATCTCCCACAAACCGCTAGACCTACCTTCATGAAATTTTATAGATTCTTCATCTTGTCAATACAAGTGTGATAAACGTTTTTGATTATTCAAATCGGACGTTCCGTTCTCTTAAAAACTGAGTTACCGTTTACGGCTTTACCTTTTGCCCGTATCTTTAGAACGGCTAGACCTGCCTTCGGCCACCAATACTAATCAGCACGTCTCCTTATCAATACAAATCGAATGTTTTTTGAATTATTCAAATCGGTTGATCCGTGTTCCCGAAATCGTCGACGAAAAATGTATATCGCACCATACATACACACGCGTACATACATACATCATACACACACACATACATCCATTTTTTCTAAGGTATGCCAAAATGTTTCAGAAACCTCTGAAACGTAAAGATATATAAAAATTTTAATTTTTTATTTTTTTGCGATTACTATAACTTGCCCTACGGGAAGTTAATTAAAAGTTTGCAAATTATTACAAAAGTTATAATAATATTTTAGATTTGAAATCAAAATTTGTTTTGCAATTTTGGAGTAATGAGTTTAGAAGATATAGATGTTTATATATTTATATATCAATGTTGCATTTTTAATTACAAATGTTTCATACAAGATTTGTGTAATGTTTCTTTTTAGTTTTGGAATTTTTGTGTTCAAACAGTTAAAAGAAAATAGGTTGCTAAAATTTGTATAATTTTAAATAATAATTTAGCTATGTAACCAAATTTGTTACAAAGTTTTAAAATAATCAGTTTAGATGATATAGGGGTTTATATTTTAATATTGCATTATTGCTTGTCGAAAGTTGCGTTAGAAGTATGACTTCAAAAAATTTTTATCTTACAGTTCCTAAAAGTTTTGAACTTATTTTATATCATTAGTGGCTTAAGATCTTATCTAGTTAATTCAAATTATTGATTTTTTAGGCAATTTGTCAAATAAGCTTCTAATATAAACGTTACGATAAGTGTGATCAGTCGAGGTGAACTGATGCTCAGAGGAATGTTGAAATAAAAATAGTGAAGTGATTTATTAAAATAAATTAATTAGACTTATTTTATTCTTATACTTTTATCTTTTTATAACTTAAAAATAAGATAATTAAGTACACCCTTCCGAAAACATTCTATATAAAAAAAATCTAATGTATCTTTATAATAAAATTGAATGTAACCTTAGAACTGCATGAAATAATAATAAAAATTGTATGAAAACTAAGTATGTAAAATATTAGATAAATATTGCATTTTTAATTCTAATATATATATATATATATATATATATTATTTTATAACTGACCTGCATTACTGAAATCAATGTCACCGCATGTCAGACATCTGACAACTATTCAACTTTATTTTTTATAGTTCCAAAAAAAGCTCGATTTTTGACTCCATTGCACAAAAACACACTTAAAACTACAGTTTTTCACTATGAACTTAATTTATAAAATCATTTTACACACACTGTTGTTACTAAAAACATTTTAAAACTTCACTACAAGAAAAAACACTTTTTATATTAGTTTAGTATTTTTGTTTATTTTATTTATTTTCATGCATTATGTTTAGTATTTATTTATAAAAGTCAATAATAAGTATGTAGTATAATTTTTTTGACACTTATGTTATAATTAAAAAAATTATGTAACATTTTACCATACAATTTACCATTTGTCAAAATCAGTTAACAATAGTTGAACCGTTGCAAAAAGATTATTAGGATAAAATAAAAATCTATAATAAAAAAATAAAAAAATCTAACAAGAACTAAATTATAATTATAAATAGTTAAAAAATTATTGCAAGCATTTAGTTTCAAAAATTCAGTAACTTTTCTTACATCAATAAAGTTTCGTTGATTAGTAATTGAATTGCAACTTTGAAATATAAACAAGAAAATCTTGCAAATTAACAATAATAGAACTCCGGAATAATTTTTTTCATATAGTTTAACTATTATTATAAATTGCAAAAATATTTGTAAAAATTCAATTACGGTTGTCTTAATATAAAAAAACAAACTAAAAAAGTGTCCTTACACGAATCTCGTCCAGTAAAAAAATAAAACATTAAAATATAATCACAGATATCTTCTAAACTAATTATAGCAGAACTTTCAAACATATTTTGTTACATACATATATTATTACTATACATTGTAAAAAAAGATTATAATATGTTAAATGCGAATATCTCAATAGAAAGAAAAGTCCTTACACAATTCTCGTATAAAACATTTGTGATAGAAAATGCAACAGGGAAATATAAACGTATATATCTTCTAAACTAATTACTATAGAACTTTTAAACAAATTTAGCTACATAGCTAAATTATTATTGAAAAATATTAAAATAATAACAACCTTTTAGTTTTAACTGTTTGAGCACAAAAGTTCCAAAATTAAAAAAAAATGTCCACAAATCTTGTATGAAACATTTGTGATTAAAAATGTAACATTGAAAAATAAACTCTTATATCTTATAAACTCATCATTCCTAAATTGCGAAACAAATTTTGTTATAAAGCTAAAATATTAGTATAACTTTTGTAAGTATTTGCAAACTTTTAATCTTAGTAA